TCTGCCAGTCCTTGGATGTCTCTGAAAAATCTCTTGGAGAAACTGTGATCTAGGGATGTATGTTAGGATAAGGAAAAACATTTTTTTGACTTGTATTGTGGAAGCTGCCCTCATCCTCTGTCAGGATATGGCACCTTTGACCACCGTTTTCCTAGTCTTGGGCTCTGCCAGGATGCCTCCCAGAAGCCTGCATCATACTGTGCTGTTTCAATCCTAGCTCTACCTGGAGGAGATAGCAGCAGTGTTAATAAGGTGTTTTCCGAAATGAGCATAAATCCTCAGAGTTCAGAAATTAAAGGGTTTTCTTCCCATTTTCTTCCCACTGAGCTAATGAATCAGAGTATTCCCAAAATGAGCAGCCACATATTCTGCATCTGCACTATGGGTTTGTCCTACATATGATACAGCAGTGCCTAGCGTTTGTGCCTTTTATTCCCAATAAATCTATAGATCCCATGTTTTACACAAGTCGCTGTTCTTCAGCACAAGCAGAAAACGGTGTAAAATGTAGCACTTCGGTATGGCTATACACCTGTGATGTGAGCATAATTTACAACAACAAACTACTGGAGTCATTATTTAAATTGCTACCAGTTCCCCAAAAAGGTAAGCTTCATTTCCATTCTGCCTCAACCATAACAGACAATTTGAATGTTTATTCCAGTTACCATTTAGAATATGAAATAGGGGATATTCATGTTAGCCAAAATCCTGCCATTAGCTCATTATAATGTCTTGGGTAACTTGATTTTCTGGGCCCCGCAGCCCAGCTGTATGGAAGTTCACCCAATTTTTTGGTCTAAGGACAAAAAGCATCGTGCAAATTCTAAGGGTTATTATAATTGAGAATTATATATGAAGCAGAATTTGTTTTTCAGGGCATAATAATAACAAAGCAAAACCAAGAACAGATAGCTTTCACAGACTATCCATGCTTTTCAAAGTGTATTTAAAAAGAAGTGGCACTATCTTAATGTCTCAGATTTTCTTCTCTACCCTGCCCTTTCACTCCCAGCTTTGCACAATGCCTCTCTGTAATCCCTGCTACTGGTTGCACCACTGGGTGCAGTTGTGGGTCCTTTATCTGTTAAGTTTTGCCACAAGACTATAAATAGATTTATGGGGGAAAAAAACCATCAAGCCAACTGATGATCATCCACAACTACACCTAAGTGAGAAAGTAATAAAAAACCCAACAAGAACAAGTTGACATTGTTCTGATCCTGAGTTTCACACCGATACCTTCTATGTTGTCTCATGTCTTTCCAGCACTTTGGTTAGCAAGCTTGTAATGCTCTGAAGCAAAGCAAAGGCAACGGAAAGATGTAGTAAGAGTCTCTGTTTTTATGGTATTTCTGACAAAACATTCCCCATTTCTTTTAGGACTCCTAAAACTCCTGTGTTGATAAGATCAGGGTTTCTTAAGAGCACCTCTTCACCACCTGCAATTACAATTTCCCCCTTTCCCATAACTTAGCTTTTGAATTGCAGAAACCAAATATGATTCCACAAATAAAGTATTAACACATCTGGTAAGTTTTAGAGAGGCAGATGAGATGACCTCCTTGACAGTTCATGTGAAAAACACACAGAAATCACCTGACAAAATTTCTTTCTAAACTGAGGAAGTTTTATAAAATAAATTGCTTATTTGATCCAGATGCCCAGAAATACAGAAGAAACATTGAAGAGAAGATTCCTTTAAAAATGTGAGAATTTGTGTAATTTTATGTTCTAGAAAAATCAAGAAACTGTTACTTGATTTGATATGTGGAAGTGTCAGATCTGAGAAGTGAAATAATCTTTCCTAAATTAAAATCAAAAGTATGTTCTGCTGCTGCCAAATAACCATATGGTCAGGTTTACAAATACTTGAAGAATACAGAGGTGGTTAGAAAAGACAGGTTTTAGCTTTGTCTGTAAGAGAATGACTAATAGCAGGGAGGATAAAACCAGCAATATGCTAATGCAGCTCAGCATCCAAAGAAAGTTCCTGAGAACTGCATGAAATAGTGTGTATATCCCAAGAGAAATATTGACACGTCTGCTGCAAAGGCAAATACAGCATGGTGAAAAATCCTGACATTACTAGAGGATGGCTTAGACAATGACTTGAGATTTTTCTCTTCTTGAATTCCTGAACACCCGTGACAATGCTTAAAATGCGAATGTCCTTCAATTTGGCAGCACCTCAGTAGGTCTGGGAGAGGACACTTTAGAAAGTGATTCAGTAGATGAACGTTAAGTTCATTATTTTACTTCTTGCTTTCATAACTGTTTTCAAAATTCCTTCCTACAAGATAAATCAAGACACTAGCTTGCTGATGGGGTGCAGACAGTCTTCAACCCAGAGTTACTCCTGACTGAGAAAGACTAGATCTGCATAAAAAAAGGAAGTAGCGATCTAAACAAAGCACTGCTATTTTCTTTCTTGACCGACTGACTTTTCTTTCCTAAGCAAATGACTTTGATAGGTGTTTACTTTGCAAAATTAACATGTATGTTAATTGTCTGGCCTTGCCAGATTCCCACCTGACAGGTTGCTCTAGCCAGCTACAAAACACAGGAGCAGATTGACCAGACCAAGCAGGTGAAGATGACAGTAGTAGCTCTGTCTCCTTTCCCAGTGACACCAGCAGCACGTGAGCCGTGGGGCAGGCAGCCTCAGGCTGCCCACACAACTAGGCATCTCTGCATTCATTCCCCCACATAAGTGATGCCTGCCACCAGCACCGGCTGTACCTTACTACATACATGCCTCAGCCTCATTACCAAGCCATTAAATAATTGGGAAGCTTAAGTCCCTGGTCAACAATAAAATGTCAAGTTTGCTGTTTTGTTTCCATCCACCATTGAAAGTTCATTGTTGTGTTTTGGTTTTTTTCCATCCATAGGCTTCTTAATGTTTTGTTGGCTTTAGAAGTGTTCAGTAGTAAAAGAGTTAATAATTTCAGTATGATAAACTAGTAAACTGTGTCATGTTATAATGGGTGTAGAACATCTCACTATGATCAGCCTCGTGAGTCACTGCAAGGAAAGAAGGCTTTGGTTCTCTTTATTGTTTCATATTTTCATTTTTCTGTTTAAACCACTTTGGCCAAAACCACCAGGTAATATCACGTTAGCAATGCCTGGGGCAAAGGCAGCCATCCAGCTGCGAAAGGACATCGATATTGCAAACTGTTCATGACCAAAACTGTGCCACAGAAGTAGGAAGATCTAAGAGTGTTATACACCTTTCAAAAAGAAAGGCAGGCAATGACTTTAAGAAATGGATCTGAGCAAAAGCCTGGATTTTGAAATTTCTGAGTTCTCGTTTATTTTACATCTTGACAGAAAGTAGCTCAGAGCCTCGTGGCATGACTGTTTCTGGAATATCTTAATTTACATTTAATTCTGATAGCTTTACACTTCAGTCTGTAGTACAGGCATATCCTTAACATGGTCACACCTTCCAGTGTACTCGCTTCCAGGGTACTCGCTTCCTTAATGTCACCAACGCCAGTCCCTCAAAGTAAGCATTGTTAAGTTTTCCATTGGCATAGCCGGATCTATTCTAGGACACTTGCTGGAAAAGTAATCTGCGTAAAGTCCACCAGACACCGATACACAGGCAGGTAGTACTTCAGACTTGGCCTTTAAAGACCAGCCAGGTCAAGAGGATGCCAGTCACAGAATTTGTAGCGTCTCTGTATTCATAAGCAAAGACAGAGAAGCAGAAAGCGCAGATAGACAGAATTTGGGAGAAATCATGGACTAGGTTGTTGTGCAGTTAGTTATCTCTTCATGACAAAGGTTACACTTTCACATACTTTCTGTGACGTCCATATCTGGTCATTTCCTTGCATTTCTTTTCCATATTCAAGTCACAGCAACTGTGTCTGTACACGTTTTTTTTGGTGGTCCGTCCTGTTTCTGATCCTCCCGAGACAGATAGTGTAGTTTAAAGCGAGTGGGCTTCGTTCTGAAGTGATACAACCAGACTCCAATTCCCAGCCTGGCCGCTGACCTCCTATGAGGCTCTGAGGAAAACGCCTCATCGCTTTCACTCTCGCACCTTCTGCTTCTCTTCCCACTTTTTGTAGTTTTTGATTATAAGACTGTTAAATGTGGAACAAAGATTGTTCCTCTGTACTACAGTATCCAGCGCGTTTCTAGGACTCTCCCAGAACACCGTGTAAGTGTGTAAACATCACAGAGTTGGATATAAACCTATAAACTGATTCAATGAATATTTCTGTTATATCTACGTACACCTGCAAAGAGTTTCAAGTTTGGTACAAGCCATGAAGCCTGGCCTGTTTTTGTAAGCTTTCCTGTTTATCACTGCTCT